ACAGATTCAATGCAATTCCCATCAAAATACCAACTCAATTCTTTACAGACCTTGAAAAAGAGATTCTCAGCTTCATATGGAGAAACAAAAAACCCAGAATCTCCAAAACAATCCTGTATAATAACAGATCATCTGGAGGTATCTCCATCCCCGATCTCAAGCTGTACTACAGGGCAATAGTAATAAAAACTGCATGGTATTGGCATAGAAACAGAAAGGAGGATCAATGGAACCGAAGAGAAGATCCAGAAATAAACCCACACACTTATGAATACTTGATTTTTGACAAAGCAGCCAAATCCATTCAATGGAAAAAAGACAGCATCTTCAACAAATGGTGCTGGTCCAACTGGATGTCTACATGCAGGAAAATGAAAATAGATACATATTTATCACCCTGCACAAAACTAAAGTCCAAGTGGATCAAAGACCTCAACATTAAACCAGATACTCTAAATCGGTTAGAAAAAAAAATGTGGGGAACAGCCTAGAACTAATTGGCACAGGAGACAACTTCCTGAACAGAACACCAACAGCACAGGCTCTAAGAGCAACAATCAATAAATGGGACCTCATGAAGCTGTAAAGCTTCTGTAAAGCAAAGGACACCATCATCAAAACAAAACGCCTGCCTACAGATTGATAAAGAATCTTCACCAACCCTTTATCTGACAGAGACCTACTATCCAGTATATATAAAGAACTAAAGAAGCTGAAAAGCAGCAAACCAAGTAATCCAATTAAAAAATGGGAAACAGAGCTAAACAGAATTCTTGATAAAGGAACATCAAATGGCAGGGAAACACTTAAAGAAATGTTCAACCTCATTAGCCATCAGGGAAATGCAAATCAAAACGACCCTGAGATTTCACCTTACACCCATCAGAATGGCCAAGATCAAAAACTCAAGTGATAGCACATGCTGGAGAGGTTGTGGAGAAAGGTGAACCCTCCTCCATTGCTGGTGGGAATGTAAACTGGTACAACCACTTTGGAAGTCAATATGGCACTTACTCAGACAATTAGGAATAACGCTTCCTCAAGACCCAGCTATACCACTGCTAGGTATATACCCAAAATTTTCTCAAGTACAGAACAAAGACATTTGCTCAACCATGTTTGTAGCAGCTTTATTTGTAATATCCAGAACCTGGAAACAACCCAGATGTCCATCAACAGAGGAATGGATACAGAAATTGTGGTATTTTTACACAATATAATACTACTCAGCAATCAAAAACGAGGAAACCATGAATTTTGCAGGCAAATGGTGGGGTCTAGAAAAGATCATTCTGAGTGAAATATCCCAGAAGGAGAAAGACAAACATGGTATATACTCACTCATATAGTCCTATAAGACATGATAGGCATGGTGAAATCTATACACCTAAGGAAGATAAACAAAAAAGAAGACCCGGGAGGACTGAGGAGTAGATCTATCCTCACTTAGAAAGACAAAAGGGAGGTGCATGGGACATTGGAGAAAACAAGTAACAGGACAGGAGCCTACCTCAGAGGGCCCCTGAAAGACTCTACCTAGCAGTGTATCAAAGCAGATACTAAGACTCATAACCAAACCTTGGGCAGGGTACAGGGAATCATATGAAAGAAGGGGGAGTTTGTGTGACATGGAAAGGATAGAAACTCCACAAGGACCAAATATATCTGGGCACAGGGGTCTTTTCTGAGATTGACACTCCACCATGGACCATGTATGGATATAACCTAGAACATCTGCTTGGATGAAGCCTGTGGTATCTCAGTAACCAATTGGTTTCCCATAGTAAGGGGAACAGGGACTATTTCTGACAGGAACTCAATGGCAGGCTCTTTGACCTCCCCACCCCCCAAGGGAGGAGCAGTCCTGTTAGGCCACAGAGGTGGGCTTTGCAGCCAGTCCTGAAGATACCTTATAAAACAGGGTAAGATGAAAGGCGAGGAGGTCCTCCCCAATCACTGGACTTGGAAAGGGGCAAGGAGGGGATGAGGGAGGGTGGGTTTGTGAGGGAATGAGGGAACGGGATACAGCTGGCGTACAGAGTTAATACAATATTAATAATAATAATAATAATAAATGTATATTTAAAAAATAAATAAATAAATGCAAATTAAACAAACAAACAAACAAATAAATAAATAGTGTCCATTTATTACAGTGAAATGTTTTCTACACCAAGGCCTAAAAATAACCTAAAGTATGAATATAAATATTCAAATTATAAATTAAGAGCCAATGAAACTGACACTTAATGATTGTAGAACAAGTAGAAATGGAAACAGTGATTGACAACCTATAGAAAACCTTGGTTTCCAACATTACTTGAGATATACACTTTTTTCATGCTTACGTTTTCCATGTTAATTGTTGGAATAGTGCCATTTGGCTGGAAAATATCAAGTAATGTGCTCATCACCATCACAAATGAACTTCCTCATATGATTTCAACCAATTTTCAAGATGTGTGACCTTTGTCATCACTGCCACAACAGTCATAAAGCTTTGTAAAGCTTTATTAGGATTCTTTGGACCAGATTATGAAATCAAATTGTTGGATTTATGTTTTTGTAAAACTTACTATGTCTAATATGAAATAGATTTTTACCTTACACTAGGTGATACTCTTTTAGATTGTGATCAATGTGTTATTTGTTATTACTTTAGGTTGTTTCATTTCTTCTTTAAGAATAGATGAAATAACAACTCCATAGTATTAGTATGGGTGAAAATTATTTTTAAAATATGCACTACTATGCATAAAATAGATACATCATGTATTATCTCATCTGCTAAAATTAAGTGATAATTTTTAAAGCCTCCTACCTCAAAACTCTGCTATACCACTCCTGGACATATACCCAAAAGATGCTCCACCATTCAACAAGGACATTTGCTCAACTACTTTCATAGCAGCTTTATTCATAATAACCAGAATCTAGAAACAACCCAGATGTCCCTCAACTGAGGAATCGATACAGAAATTGTGGTGCATTTACACAATGGAATACTACTCAGCAATTAAAAACAATGAAATTATGAAATTTGCAGGCAAATGGATGGAACTAGAAAAGATAATCCTGAGTGAGGTAACCTTGAAGCAGAAAGACATGCATGGTATATACTCACTTGTAAGTGGATAGTAGCCAAAAAATATTGGATATACATAGTAAAATCTATAGACTTAAAGAAGCTAAATATCAAAGAGGACCCAAGAGAGGATGCTTAAATCTCATTCAGAAGGCCAAACATGATAGACATAGAAGGCAGTGGAAGAAGGGAAACAGAACTGAGACCTATGACAGATGTCTTCTGAAAGGCTCCACCAGCAAGTGATCTATGTTGATGCATAGATTTACAGCCATACTTTGGGCAGAGTTCAAGAGGTCTTATGGAAGAAAATAATGAGGGTCTGGGGGAGGGGAGGGGAGGCTGCAGAGACTGATGCACTAACCAAGGACCATGCACGGACTGGATCTAGAAGCCCTATTCAGTTTTAGCCCATGGCAGCTCAGTCTCCAAGTGAAATCCCTAGTAAGGGGGTCAGGGGTTGTCTCTGACATGAACTCGGTTGTCTGCTTGTTGATTAGTTGCCCCTGGCAGGGTAACCCTATCAGGCCACAGAGGAAAAGGATCCAGGCAGTCCTGTTGAGACTTGGTAGGCTAGGGTCAGATTGTAGGGAAGCAGGGTACTTTTTAGTGAGCTAGAGGAGGGAGCTAGGGAGGGAAGAGGGGTGGACCAGGAGGAGAGGGAGGGGGCTACAATCTGATAGAAAGTGAATAAATTATAAAAAAAAATAAAATAAAAATTAAAAAAATATTGCTCTCATGAAGTGTATACTGTTATATGACAACATCAAGATTTAGGTATAGCTAGATACAAACTCCAAAATGAAACTCTGACTCTAATCTTTATTTTCATTTATTTATACTAAAATGTTTTATATAGTATATTTTGGTCTATTTCTTTTTCATTCCCCAAACTACTAGCAGATCCTGCCCATTCATCCAGTTTCACTCTCTCTCAATATAGCTATATCTCAAAATGTAATATATTATATATATATATATGTATGTACGTACATATATATGTATGTACGTACATATATAACATATGGAACTGAGAAAAATTTCTTTATCAGCCCCACACTACATGACCAAAAAAGCATCTATCTGATTTTTTGGTATCTACCAACAGTTTTCTTTTTAATGGTTTTCTTTTTGATGTATTAAGGTTTTGCCCATTGTTTTTCTTCTCCAGAATCTTCCCCTTTGAGAGGACTCAGAACAAAGAGAAATAATTCAGAGTCCCGTGTAGCCAGGTGGTTGTGACTCAGATTGAGTTCTGTCATTTGTGATCATCAAACTTCACTTATTGTCTTCTTCTCTATCTTTAGGGGTTCATTCTCATTTGACTTCTTCTTGGCTTATATTGCTTTCTTGCTAGTGGAATTAAGACACTTAGAAAATGTTATGTAATCCATGTGGAATATTAGAAAATTTGTAGGATGGGAATAAGTAAGGTCCATTTTTTACTAGATTCCATAAAAAGCACAAGATAATGATTCCAATTCATTAACAAGAACAGCAAATTACTGTCTTGCCACAAACTGCAAAGAAAAGTATTTTCCTTATAACATCCTATGACAATATACATAAAATTTATGTCAAGAGGAAAAGGGGAATTTTTATGGGACATAATAGAATAGTCATTACTGTAAAACAGTCATAGTATGTCTAGCATAGGAGTAGCTCATCATCTTTTACTTTAATAAAATGACAACACCCATAAACATGGTGAGCAGAGTACTATTCAAATGCGACTGCAATTACAGAGATTACTGAGTTTCACATTCGTAAGCCAGGAAGCATATAAATATGTCAGAATGGCTGTTTTGGGTACCACACCTGCTTCTGAGAGTATATAAACCCAACTTCCACAAGGTTGCTTTCAAACTCAGAATCCTCTCTGTTATATCCAGCATAACTAACATCTCCTCTCAACATGACCTACAGTTGCTACCCTGGAAACTTCTACTCCTGCTCCCTTGGATACTGCCTGCCCTCCTTAGGTTCCTCCTGTGGCTCTTCCTACCCCAGCAACCTGGTCTACACCA